GACGATATATATGTGAATAGTCGGTTATTAATAATAATAATCAATCAAGTTTGTCCAATGTCATTCTTTTGCGTTTTTATTAGGGATATTTCCCTATCGTGTTCTGGCAAGCAAACTACAATCACCAAGGGGCCAGATTGATTTTAAACTGAATTATTTTTTATTTTTTACTTTAAAAAAACGTGTATATGTTTGCCCAGGTGTGGCTGGGTTATGATTGCCCTTTGAGTTGGACCCTTTCTGTGATGTTCTTTGTAGTTTCTCGTGGACCGCTGTCCGGAAGTTGCCAAGGCTAGGCGATTATTCTGCCACAGATTAGGATACGGAAATATCCCCTTTTATTTCGCCCTTTGATCAAAAGATGCGGTTATTATTAATTTTGACCGGTAGATATTAATAATAACCGAATTTATCATTTTAACCTAACACATATACAAAGTGGCACAATGCTATGTAAACATTGACCAAACTTCATTGGTTTCTATTAATATTTACCAGTTAAAGGTGAATTATTTACGATATATCTCACTTTGACTAAAAGAAGCGGTTATTTTTAATACTGACCGGTTAGTATTAATAATAGCCGGATCTATACCTTTAACAGTATTTTAGTACAGTATCTTTACTTTAACAGTATTTTTACTTAACATATATTTTAGAATTAGATAATAAGAACAACTTCTTAATTTTTTATAGGAAGTGGAAGCTTTTGGCTATATTGGAGGCCTGCTTGGAGTGTGGCTGGGATTGTCTTTGGTAGCTGTTTTCGATTTTTTAGAAACATGCTTCATGATTTTCCTTTTCATTGTGAAGAAATTGATGAAGAAAGAAAATAACAAAAATGGAAAACTCACTTACTTGGATGGGTTTAAGCGTCAAGTCATGATCGTGAAGTAGAACACAAAAATTCAACGATAAAAATGAGATTGCCTTTTTAAATAGAAATAAAGTTTAATTAGCTGAGTTTTGTTGATATTTAAAAATTTTTCTATTGTAAACTATACAGCTTTATTCTTATAACACATACATATTTACATCCCCCCCCGGCCCAGAAAAAAAACAAGTAAAAAGGAGTAAATCTTATTAATTTTTTTAAATAAAGTTCTAAAAGCATACTTCCCCCCCGGGGGTTTACAAATTAATGGAAACACCTCTATGCTAATATATTTTTTTCATATTTCTCACGAAATACTCAAAGAACCATTTTAGAACTTTAGATGTGTTTAGATCATGAAATTTCTCATACTTATCCATACTTATCAATGAAGTTTAAAGCTTTTAGAGGTTTGAGGGAACGACAATAAATTATAAACCGAAAATAGTGTCTTTGAACCCGATCCTATACCAAAAAATGTAGCAATAAATTCGTAACTTGTAGTAATTATTTTGGTTTTTGTATGCAATAATTGCACAAATTTTGTAAGCCTAGCTTAAATATTTATGGAGATATGGACATTTTTATGAAGAAAAAACTCATTTTTTTTGTCTTACTTTTTTTCTATAACTTTAAAAATATTTAATAAAATTAAACAAAATTTTTTGAGCAGAAAACTATTTTTTTAAAGTTCAAAAAAAAATTCGTTTAAAATTGCGAAATATATGAGTAATTTAAGTATTTCTTTTATACTGCGCATGCTCCTAAAAATTTCAACAATTTTTTCCCTCATAATTTTGTTGTGAATTGTATTTGCCATATAATGAAAAAAGTTTCATTTGAGTATCTTATGTATTCAAAATGTTTTAAGCAATTTTCTAAGTAGTTTTTGTACTTTTTAGAGGACAAAGACAAATTTAAATGACAAATGATAATGCCTAACAATAAACGTTCATTTACCAAAATATGACAACGTAAGGAGAAAAAAAATACTTTTATGGGGATGATCCCAAACAATGCCGGTGTCATTTTTAATAAAACTTATTTAATTGTACAAAATAAGATTTGTGAAAAACCCTTATCATTTTCAGTTTATTTAAAAAGTACAAAAACTACTCAGAAAATTGCTTAAAACTTCTTAAATTTTTAAGATATTTTCTTAATTAGTTGCCAATACGTTTTTCTACAAAATTAAGAAAGAAAATTCAAAATTTTCCCACACATGTGTATAAAAGAATTATTTTAATCGCTAATATCTTGTACAATTTTAAATGATTTTTTTCTCAAATTTTAAATCAAAATTTTGTAACTAATTTTAAACTGCTCTTTAAATTTGGTTTAATTTTATTGAATATTTTTAAAGCTATAGAAAAAACAAAGTTAATACGACAAGAAAGTTGGTTTTTTTATAAACAATGTCCATATCTTCAAAAATATTTAAGCCTGGCTTACGAAATTTAGTGCAATTATTGCATATAATAACCAAAATAATCGCTACGAGTTGCAAATTTATTGCTGCATTTTTTTTGCATGCGGTGTTCAAAAACACTATTTTCCGTTAATAATTCATTGTCGGTTCCTCAAACCTCGAAGAGCTTTGAACTCCATTGTTCAAGAAGCTTTAAACTTCATTGTATAATTTTAATCCCCCTTTTCTAATCTGATCTCAATAATAATTGGGGAGCGTTAAAAAACTTTAAGTTTTTCTTCACATAAATATTATTTTGGGATCAAATCTCATGCTTCTCTCAATAAAGTTTTTACGGAGACTCTGAAGTTTCATAATAATGGCAGTCACTCTGTCTTTACAGGCGAAACCAGACTACATCTATGTATTTAGTATTTTTTACATCCTATGTAAAGTAAAAGTTTTCCACCACATTTAATTTAGCTTGAATTTAAATAATGAAAGATCCAAAGCTGAATTCTAAAGGTGAGTATTAAAGATCATTCTCACTGCCTGCTATTTTTTCACACTCGTATGTGAATGCGAACCATATTGATGAAAATTATTTATCCGCGAAAGAAAAAATCGCTAAACAGGTTCTCATTTGCATGTGAAAAAATGGCATCCAATCTTTTGATCAGGGACCATTCACACTGCATCCGATTGTCCGAGATGCGCGTGTGGTGTATTTCACAAATTAGGTTCTTATATGGATGGTTGACCGTGTAAAGCTAGGCACAGATGACATTAGGTGTTAAAATTCGTCGTAAGATTTCCGGGTTACTGCTTCTGATTGATTTTTTCGCCTAAGTTTTAAAACGCGCGCCACCCAATATTATTATACTTGTACTATTTTTAACACGACGCGCTCTTTCAATTTAACTTTCAACGAAGCAAACAGCAAATGAATTCCGAAGACCCCGCAAGCTTACTATGATACTGCCGAAAAAATAACAAACGTCGCTATTATACACAAATCTACCCAAATAAGGGATGATACTTAAAACATAACAAACCTTAAGCTTTATTTACGTTGTGATGTAAATTTTCTTAAATTTGTCTCAGGCTCACGACCTGTTAGAATTTATAAATTGTAGAAACTTCTTGTGAATGATAAAATTAATCGTAAATATAATTAAAACTTGAATGGAAATTCAAATCACATTATTAAAACTTTCTAGAATATTAACACTAAACATACCAACACTTTTCAATGCAATACAATACAACATACAAAAACCGGTCTTTTGACCGATTATGGTATATGTTGGAATCATATTATATGTTATAGAGTAAAATTATATCTTGGAATCATTGCATAGTTAAACAAGAAAGAAATATTTTTTATGAAATAGAATTCGGTTGTGTTAAATATTGTTGTATGTTCGTAAGAAAAGTTCGTTCGTATGCAGAACATTATATTTTAAGCACAATATACAAGGGACTAGCCAAAGCTGTAGTAGATCATTTATCCGCAAGCGTTACCAGGGTGCACCACGAGGAGGTAGATCTACGTTGCACCCCTAACTGTAAAAAGCTCCTACCGTTGCTGTAAAAAGCTCCTACAGGGTCTGTTTGGGTTTTCTAAGGAAATTGTTTTGCAGTGGATCCAGGGACACTGCGGTGTAGCTGGTAATGAGTTACCAGACCATCTTGCTAAGCAGGGAGTTTCTATCCTACAGACATCAAAGAAAGCTGTCTCTCTCACCAATGCCAAGAGCCTAATCAAGAAAAAGGTGATAGATCTCACTATAAACCATACACAGAGAAAAATTCTGGTAAGATCTGGTGGAATAATCTCAAAGATCTTCTAATGTGGCCAAGACGTAGGGCAGTTGCTGAGTTTCACCTGACTACCGGACACGACTGCCTCCTCAAACATCTCCCTCGAATTCATGTTGCTCAAGCCCCTTTCTGTACCCTCTGTGACCTTCAAGCGGAGATGAATGCAAACCACCTTAGTCTTGCACGGCGCTGAGGGACATCTCTTTGTGTGACCGTCACTGGCGCGCAAGAGACTTATTGGTTTCATAGACTTTTCCTGCCACGTTTGTTTTGTTTGTGTTTGTTTATTTTGTTGTTCCTCCCTTTTGTGGCGAGTGATCTTCTGTAACCTTGGCCATTGGAAATAAAAAAAAATATTTTACACATTGAGCAATGAGCATTGACCTATATTCTATTACAAATGAAACAATATTTATCTGACTCATTTTAGAAAGAAAATTTTAAGAAATATTGGATTTTGAAATATGGATTTTACATAACAATTAAGAAGTCAGAATAAAAAAGTGCTTTATAAATAAAACTGGTGTATAATAACATGTATGCTTGTTAACAAGCATACATGTTATACATCAATTAAGTAATGAAAACGTTTTCATTACTTAATTTCTCTACCTATGATTTTAAACTTGAGATGAATTGAAAGTGTTACAAAAACACGTCTAATAAAATAATCTGACTTTCTTTCACTCTACATAAATAAAAATTAGTGAAAAATCATTTTTCTATAATGCATGAAAGTTTTTGTCATTCTGATTTTGCTATGATTTTTGTTAGAACTTTTTTAATAAATTCATTTAAAAAAAAAAGAAAAGAAAAAAAGATGAGTACAATGAATTACAGACATATTTTAAGTAGGAAAATCACAATATAGTTACCAATTAAGTAATTAATAAATTATGTGAAGGTAAGTTATGTAGAAAATGAGTTTTCACTGTTATTATTCAATGTAATCACACTACTCAGAAAGAATATTGTTTACCAAAAGATATGCAGATTGACAGTTAAACCATTTAAATAATAGTGATGTTAAGTAGGTACATAGTCTCACTAGTGCTGCACAATGGGCTATTGGCAACGGTCTGGGAAACATCTATGAGGAGAATCCGAAGACATACCATCGCAATTTCGATCCTCTGCTAAGAGGACGGCTCCCCTGCTTTGGTAGCCCGGTGACCTGCGAGCGAAGTTGAATTCCTGATGGTAGAACAGTTTAGCAATGACCGATACCACGCACCCTCGGTCCCTACGCAGGCAGATCAAAATGGTCACCCACTTGCTTACTGATCGGACTGCAGACAGTGATGCTTGCTATGATGGTACCCCAAGAATAACAAATGTTGCTATTTTACACAAATAAAGCCAAATAAGGGATAACACTCAAAACATGACTGTACCTTTCACTTTACTTATGCTGTGATATTAATTTTGTTAAATTTGTTTTAGGTTGCACCAGTTAGAATTTATATATTACCGACATATATTGCATTATTCCATCAGCGCTTTTAATGCAAAATATTCTTGTGGGGGGGGGGTACTATTCGCGATCGCAACGCTCGAATACGCCATCTGGGGAGTAGACCGGTTCTATGCTTTTGGCCCTACCCCTTTCCCTCTCCGACTCTTTTCAGTTGTATAGGAATGTTCTATGATATTTTCCCCCTTCTTAATATTTTTCGTATTTAATTGTCCCGAATATTTTTAAAAATTTAAAAAAAGTTTTCTTTTAGAGCATGTAGTTTCATGTAGTTTTCAGTTCCGCATAGTTTCCTTACTTGAAAGTTTTTAATCTACTTGAAAATCAAGTGAGAAACTGACGTACTTCCTTCTTTTATGACTCTCCTCATGCTAATTGTGAAAGCATGTGAAGTTTTGCCATAGGTAAAGAGTTCTGTTCTGCTCCACCTACAGCCCGTTTCGATCGCCAATTTATTCGGCGATGAAAAATTTGCCATGCTAGTTTCCTTTCTACTTTGACTCATTTAAATTTGAACGCAAAATACAATTTTTATCTTAAATGCTTCTCATTACTTTAAAATTTCTGCAGTGCTTATGTTTTGTGTATTATAATTATCTAATTTTAATAATTTTCTTATATTAATTAATATTTCATTATATTTTAAAGTTTTCTTTTCTTTTTTTTTCTTCGAACTGTTAAATTTGAATTTTCTTTTTAATTATTTTTAATATCATATCAAAAAAGAAAGCATGTCAACTTTTATTTATTTCAACACTTTGCAAATACTCATATTTTCTATGTATTGGTGATCAAAATGAGTTACAGGTGGCGTAGAGCAAAACTCTTTATCTATTGCATGCTTTCCCCATTAGTGTGCTCAGAGTCATAGAAGAAGGAATTCTGTCTTGATTTTCAAATAGATTAAAATGTTTAAGTTAAGAAACAATATGGAGCTGAAAACTACATTGAGCTTAGTTCAATAAGAAAACGTCGTGGAAATTTTAAAATAATATTTTTGATAATTAAATGAGAAATATATTAAGAAAAGGGGGAAAATACCGTAGTATATTTCTAAACAACTAAGAGGAGGAGAGAAGGAAAAGAGAGTAGACTAAGACATGGAACCGGTCTTCCAGATGTTAAGCTCAACCATTTCAATTACATACAGCGCCATCTTTAGCATAATACTCCGGTCCAAATGATCGGAATGAAAATGTCAAGTTAGATAAAACGAAAACACTTGCTTCTCACAAATCTTAAAACCAGTTATTTGTTATTTTATTATCTCTGTTTTCTGCTCTCATAATTTTCCTTTTCCAAATTAATTCTCCTACCAGTTGAACTTTTCACCAAAGTGTGGAAGGTGGTGATGAAATTTCTTTATGTTTAAGTTCCGTTTCTCTAGTTTTTAAATTAAGTTCTAAAATTTTTTATAGTTTACTTAAACTTGTTGGATTAATATCGTTCTAGGATTGTTAGCAAGTGATTTTATATATAATCATGTCATTGAAGATAATTTTATTTCTTGGTTCCGTACGTGAAGGCAGAAACTGTACTAGAGTGGGCAGTTTTATAAAGAAGAAATTAGAAGAGAAAAATCACATTGTTAGAGTGTTTGGTAATTAAGTTCTATGTTTTCACCTACCTCATTATAGTTTCGACATCCATTACTAAATTAAATATGGTACCCTCACAGAGCCGCTGTAAAAAAAAAGAAGAAAAATTTCTTTTGGATTTCAGGATGTATTTTACTTCAACTTGAATTTCTTTTATTATTGTTAACACATATTTTCCTGACATTACTGTTATATACCAAATGCTAAAATTTGTATCTTTTTTTAAAAAATTCAATTGTTCATTGCAATGTACAAATGACGAATTTTTGTTATTTCACTACTAGTGCTTAACTGAGAAATTAAGTTAAAAATGAAGAATTAAGTTAGTGTGTTAATTAGGTACACATAATTGAAAGATTTGTAAAAACCTTTATTATATTCGGGAAAATAATCCAAACTAATTAATTTATCTTATAAATTACCCTTTAACGTTTTGGCATTTTAACCTAAAAGACGTAATTTAATTGCAACATGGAAACACATTAATTTTAATTATTTCAAGAATTGGTATAATTTCTGGTTAAATATAGTTGGGATTACCTGTAGAGTATTTCTACAATATCCAATAGTTATTTTTTACTTTGATGCAATTAATTAATATATATTTTATCCAGTATTGTGCTTTACTCTAATTGTAATTAATTATATTAATTTTAATGTTAATTTAGATTTTGTCTAAAATTTTTGTGGATATAATAATCAAGGTTCAATCCTGGATTTCTTACAAAAGTTTTGTTTGAATTTTTCTGAAATTCTTTGGATTTTTATAAAATTATTTTTGTTAAAAATTAAACCCTTGTTACTATGAAATACTTTTAAAAAAAGACCATTTTATATGGAACTGTATGAACATTCAAATGCAAACACTTTAAAACATATTAATTTGATTAGTGTCAGGTGCTGGTGCAAAACAAATTACATCAATATGTTATTCTGAAAGTTTTTCTTGTCAATTTAAATTGGTTTTTGTTATTAATTCACACAAGAATACAAATTTTTATGTGTCTGAAAATTATTTTTTCAGTGAATTCAAACAAAAGAAAATATGTATAATATTAAGAAAGAAATGGGTTTTGTGAAGCTCTAATTTCTATCTTTAGACAGGGGCAGATTACCCATTAGGCCTGACTAAGCCATGGCCTAGGGCCCCCTTAAATATTTTTTTTTTCAAAATAAATTTAAAAAAATTAAGAAAAACAATGATTTTTTTTAAAAAAAAAATCAGTTTAAATATATATTAATAAAATACAAAAAATGTTTTAGTTCTAATTTAACAAAATTAAGTAAAATTTAATTTATTATTATTTATTTTTATTTTAAATATGCTTTCTTAAATGAAAAGATATATAAATACTTTTATATTTGAATAAATAAAAAACATGCGAGAAAAAAATTTAATCTGAGGGCCCCAAAATTTGAATGGCCTAGGGCTCCGCGTACGCTTAATCCGCCCCTGCCTTTAGATATTGAAGATCTATTGAGTTTTTTTCAAAGCTTAAATTTTTGTGAAGGGTCTTTTAATAAGGCTTGGATTTTTGTGAAGGTTTTCTGTAATGGACCTGATACTTTCCTAAGATTGACCTCTTGATTATGAATAATAAATATTTGCTATGTTCTAATAAAGAATTTTAAATTTCAATCTAGTGTCCTCTTTAGTACGGTTTTGAAAAACCTTGATTATATGCTTTTTTTCATTCATTGGAATTTTATATTTGTTATTTTAAGTTTATAATCCACATAATAATTTTTAGGATTAATTTTTAAAAAGTTAATCTTTTATATTTTTAATTATTTTACAATATTAATTATTATTAATAATTTCAATAATTTAACAGATCCTTTAACAATGGAATTTCCAATGCTCAAGAAACCACTTCACTTCCATGGTCCTGATCAGACACCTCCTGAATGGTTAGTGAAATATAACGCTGAAATAGAAAATGCTGATGCCTATGTTGTTGTGAGTGGTGAATATAACAGATGCATCCCTCCAGCACTGACAAACATGATGAATCACTTTCCACCCAAATCTTACAGATGCAAACCTTGTAGCATTGTTTGCTACTCTGCAGGTATTTTTCAATTTTTAATCTTTCAACTTCATAGTTCAGCATATGTATTCACACGGATGGCAAGTTTTTTCCTCTACGGAAAAAACTGCTCCAGAAGAAATACAGTTGAGTTACGATTATTCGAGTTAATGTGGACGTTGACTTACTCGGATAGCGGAAAAACTCTATTAAAGGGAGGAGTATAAATAAGGAAAGAAAATATAAATGTAATATATTTAACAAATACAAAATTTATAAGAACATACTTTACTTACTTACTTACCTATCCTCTACGTGCCTTGGGCACTTAAGGCCTCTAGCATATCCCTCCAACGCCTCCTGTCTTTAGCAATAGATCTTGCTTCCTCCCAGCCAGATATTCCACATTCTTTTAATTCGCCCAAAAACATGCGCTGGATGGTAAGTCTGGGTCTTCAATTAGTTCTTTTACCATCAGGGGCCCATGTAAGCGCAACAGATGAAATTTTTTCTTTGGGCATTCTAAGGATATGTCCGAGCCAGCTCCATCTTCGTTTTTTAATTTCATCTTCGATTGTTTTTATTTNGATACATCGAGATCGAATGAAATTTTTTCTTTGGGCATTCTAAGGATATGTCCGAGCCAGCTCCATCTTCGTTTTTTAATTTCATCTTCGATTGTTTTTATTTTAGCTTTCTTTAATAGATTTTGATTTGATACTTTGTAAGGCCAGAAAATTTTAAAAATAAATCTTAAACATTTGTTTTGAAAGGTTTCTAATTTTTGTATTTTGATCTTAGTCTGTTTCCAGGTTTCTGCGCCGTATAATAGTACTGCTCTAATAATAGCTTTGTAAACAACTATTTTTGTCTTTATTTCAATATTTGACATACTTTAACATACTTTATGAGAATTAAAAAGTTCTTACTTAAAAAAGTCCTTAATTGTTTTTTGTTTTACATTAGTTTGGGGTTTTTCTGCAGCAATGTTTTGAAATTTTTTTTAGGAATAACTGGAAGGCTAGTGTAGCCTCTTCTTGTTGCTCTATATATTCAATAGCACTTTCGATAGCTTTTGGTCCATTGTGTATGAGAGATTTTTATATGTTGATTTTCATCGTCACTGTCTTCATCATCTTCGCTAGATTCATTTTCATTATTGGCCATGTTAATGATAATTTCATTGGATCAAGTAGTTGGATTTCGTTTTCCTGAGTGTTTGAAAGATAAAATTCAGGATATTTTTTTGGCGGCAATTTAAAAATAAAAAATAAACTAGAACAAAAAAATCTTTAAAATATTTGATAGCTCGGTTAAAATGGAAACCTTGAATAATTGGGACTCTACTGTATATTTCTTTCAGTTCAAGTGGAAAAACTCTTCTTAAAAAATAAATATCAAGCATTGAAAATTATTTTTATATGGTTTATAATTGCTGTCTAGTTTAAATTATAATTTTAATTTGTATTTATAAGTAAGTGAGAACTAAAAAGAAACACATTTAAAGGAAATCTAATTTTATTATTTTTAGAAAGAACCATTACAATATCATGCACAAATTTTATTCATTCAGACATAACTAATGCAATCTTATTATCTATACATATATATATTTTTTACACAGCAAGATAAAAATCTTTATTAATACTTTGTGATGGCAACAAAAAACTGAAGAGATTATGCAAATGAACAGTCATAAGAAAAAACTCTTAAGCATCAATTTTTACAAACTATAAATAAAAAATTATTTCTTGCGTAGGTAACAAAAAGCTGATGCAAACTGAGCTATAAGTTTGGCAGAAATAAAAGATTAACAGTAAATAATAGTTCATGTCAACAAAAACCTGCTCTATATTTTTATTTAAGTTATACTTGTCAATTCATACAGGTTCAATAATAATTTAGAGCTGTATTTTATTAATAATTCATAATTAATGCATGACAAAGACATGAATTTTTCTTGCTATTCTTAGCAAGTTTTTTTCTGTATTTTTACTATTTTAAATTTTTTTTCAAAAAATCTACTAGTATAATTATTTCATATGTGATTATTCAATTAATTAGTAGTAGCATTTTTTAATTTTAGAAACAATTTATATTATTAGTTCAATATGTATTTTAAAATGGAATATTTTTCCAAATTTTTTTCCATTGAACTAAATTGGATTTTTTTTTTTGTGTGTTTTGAACTAAAACAAAGAAATAAATTTGTTTTTACTATTTTTCTTCACTGAATTCAAAAAGATTTTTGATTTTTAAGTAATTCGATTGTTTATCTTTTATATTTTGCCTCATGTAGCAATATATTAAAATTGAGATACATTTTTCGAAAAATTCTTTAGATGAAATTGCATTTGAAATTCTAAAAAGTGAAATCTAGGGACAAGCTATGAAATGAAGTTATGAAAACTTTCAATTAATGAGCTATGAAAACTTTGAATTAATGAGCTAGAATTTATTTTGTGTACCTATGATTGATTAAATATATTTAATATTTTAATAGTTGATGTGTTCAATTTTGAAATTTATATTAAATATTTTATTATTAGCTTTTAATCAATTCTTTTATCAATTATATAGCTTTAAATGTGTAAGTTTTTTTTAATTTGTTGCACTTTTGATCTTGTGTTTTGAATGAAGGAAAAGAAAGAAGAGCTACGCTTTTTCCAAAGGTTATATGTTCGCATGAAACAACCTTGAGTATTGTTTTCAGATAGGTACTTCAGATAGGCTAATTATTTCAGGAATTTTGGCTAATTCACAACAAAATACAATGACACATCTTATTGCTTTCATGGAAAAGCATAGAAATTCAAGACAGGGATTTTTAAGGAAGTTTTACCATTTTTTTTAAACCATTACTTTGAATAATTTAAAAGTAACTTTTCATTATAATGTCTGAAGCCATTCAATCTTAACATGCATACAAAAAGTGTGGTATACTGTACCATCTTACTGTTTCCATCTGAAATATTTTTTATCTCCAAAGACACTCTTAAAAGCTTTCTCCTGAACAGTTTGAAAATGTGGCTTATTATTTTATAACTCTAATCCTTTCACTAAGTGCCTTGTCTTTTTTTTTCAGGTACTGGTGCTGGATCTACTGCTGGTATGCAACTACGATACTTTTTAGGTGAATTGGGCATGGTAACTCCAGGATTTATATTCGGAAACGCTGTGGTGCATACTGCTTACGATGCAGAAGGAAATCCTACACCATCAAATGATACTGCTATTTCAAAAGCTGCTAGGCTTATCTCCGAACTTGAGTGGTATGCTAATGCATTAAAGAATCAAACTCAAAAATGCGGCTTGCCTTAATAAATAGTAGCATTATTTTCTTAAATTACAGAATATTCTTATTGTTTCTACAAATTAGATGGCTTTCACTATTATATTTTTAGATGAATTCTTATTTTTTATTCGATTAACTTATGCCTTTTTATTGACATTTTTTTAATTCAATGCAAGTAATTCATTTCCTTGTTACCCTGAATAAATTAGAAGTTATTTTTTAAATGTATGTTTACATAGTGTTCTATTAGGATAGCCTTTTGTGCATATTTTTAGAATACATATCAGAAATTCAGTAAAAAAATAGTATACACATAAGGAGTTTCAAATTAATATTAAAATGAGGAAAAGACAAAATTTTTTATCAAAATGTAATAAATTACTACTAACATAGGGAGGACTGAAACTTTTAAAGACTAATTTAACAAATGAAGCAGGGGAGTAGTTAACTCACTGATGGCTGTGCTCGTAAAAAGTCTTATCTTAACCTGCAGTAAATCCGCCCAATTTTGCCGGTTTGCTAAACTACGAATGGACTTAAAATTATAGCTTAGTTTCACCAGGCTTTTTTTTGTTGTTTTTCATGCCACTTTTTTCACTTGTGATTCACCAGATTCTGATGAAGCTTTTGTTTTTTATTAAATTAAATATTAATTAGTAACACAGTATATGCATACAGTTTGAACTCATTTTTGACTAGTATAATAAAAATTTGTATTAAGGGTGGTCATTCCAGAACATCCTGTAAATTCATATCAAGTTTATTACAATAATTTTGCTAAGTCACTTGCATTAAATTAAATCATACTTAGTTTTATACATTTAATGAAACAATCTCTGAATCAATCAATCTTATTAATGAATATTTCGTATTTGAAGTTTTAAATTGTTAAATATTATTTAAAATTGTAATTGTTATTTTTAATTATGTTGTAAAATCGATCTGATTCTGCCTTAAATATATTTAATGACATATGTATTTACATTTTGACATATTTTTTTACATTAAAGTGCCTTTTTGTATTGAAAGTTTATTTTTAGTCACTTGGTTTTTGCTATTTACAATCATATATATGAGAGAATGTTATTTGTTATCAATCTGTGTTAAAATTTTTAAATTTGCTGAATATTTTAAAAAAATTTCGCCTCAGGAAAATTAGCATTTACAATTTAGAATTGCAAATGTGGGATGTTATTATTTATTTGTTTCAAAACATTTAGCTTAGATTGATATTTTTTTTACTTCAATGTTATGCTTAAGATATTTAATAAGATTTTAGTTTGTGTTACAGTTTAGTTTAAATTTGAATTTCTGATTTTTTACTTTTTTGTTCAATTTTTCTTAAGTTGTAGTTTTACTTGTGATACTATGCAATACACTCAACAACATACATTACGTTAACCCTCAAGATTTGAACCCCTAGATAAAATTGCATATAAATTTCTCTGCTACATTCTACTTTCCCATTGAATTCCATTGGAGAAAATTGGTTTTTAAGGCAGGAAAGCTTGCAGCTGAAAGTTTGAAAAAAACCAGAACTTACGCTCTGAGGGTTTAAAACGTATGTATTTTGTTGAATTGAAAGCATTTTTATTTGTTTCTGGTTATAAATGAAATTAAAATCAAAAATTGTTATTTGCTACATAATAAAAAGGTGCTTTTCAGAATGTCTTGATTTAAGTCCTTGATGTGGCATATCCACACATGCATGTCAATACTTAAAAAAAAAAAAATTGCAATTTTTACTTACTGTTATTTGTGTGCTGTTTTAAAGAAAAATTATGCTTACTTACAGTGTAAGTATTTTAGACAGAAAAATAAGAGGTAATAACTCTATACCTAATTGTTTTTCTTTACAATTTTACTGTTTTTTACGTTAGGAGGCTCTTTTTTACGTCTGTCCGCTAACCCCCGTAATTGATTTTCATTTATCATCCTTTTTTTTTCTTAAACGTTAATAGTTTCCTCTGAAACACAGAGAACATTTTGGTTTAAAAAAATACAATTATTTTAACTCTTTGTTTGAACATTTCGTTAATTTTAACAAAATAGATGACTTATATTTGAAAACTATTAGACATAAATTTAAAAAATAATAATTTGTACTAGAACAAAAAATAAACTTATTAATGATTGTTAGATTCAATAAAAAGGAATAAATGAGAAGTAATTTCACTCGTTGAAGAGACTTATAATAATTCAAATAGGGAACAGTTCTTATCACTATTTATTAAGTTATTATTTTATTTTCAGAAATTTCACTATGGATGACATCCATTTCTGATTGACATCCATTCTGCTTAAAAAATATTAATTTAACAATAAAATTTTTTTTTCATCGCTTAAAAATTTTTTAAAATAAACTTAAAATGAAAATGATTATTATTATTTTAAAAATTTAAACTTTGTAAAATAATTTAAACTAATAAGTTATTGTACTTGTTCAAAAGTACCTCGTTGTGTCATAAATCATGTTAAAATTTGAACTTATCTTTTTATTGTTTAATTTAAATTTAAACAGTCTATTAAATTCTCTTAATTAAATATATTTATTTAGATTAATTTTTTTTTACATTGTTTCCTAATTTATTTAAGACACAATTATAAATTAAAGTACTTATATTTTGGATTACTTTATTGTTGAACTATAGAAATGTCTTGATTTACAGTTCAATAAGCATTTTAAATTTGCATAAAAATATTCTTATTTTAATTCCTATATTCTATTGCTAAAAAAGGTTATTGTTTATTTTTTAATGAATGTAAAAGCTTTTAAAAATTGATTGCATGGAAATAACATCTAAATGTGATTTATTACTATAATCAGAACTACCTATGTGTATGCCAAGGGTTAGCATGATGCATCCTTTTTCTCCTTCTGTGGATCGTTTTTGGTTTCTTTCTTTTAAAAATCTTTTTTTTAGTTTTTCTGTACAAAGTTGCCAAAATAAGCTGTGTTACTAACTCCATGAATCCTAGAAAGTTACCAATCATAAGAAAATAAAATGCTCCTTGTAAATCATCCATAGATAAAGCTCTTGCTTCAGTAACTGTTACTCGAGGGGCTTTAATGGTTGCTTTTATAAATTCATCGTCATACCACTTTGAAAAAAATCCACATTCCTCTAATCTGTTCACTCTATGAAGGAGAAAAAGACAAAAAAAATTGTTTATAAGATATATATTGGGTGTTGCAAATATAATTGGCGAAGTCAATTAGAGAAAAATGGAAAGAGATAGGCATCTACTACTTGCTTTGTTCTGCTTAGGAAACTTGATAATTTTTTTTTTATTGAGCTTCAAAATTAGTTACTAAATTCCCCCACACGTGATACTGTAGCTAAGGGAAGCAATGTTTTCACAATGAACAGCAGTAAAGAACGAAATTGACTGTCACCCATACCAACATTTTAGTTGAAATGGTCTGATATGTAGCAGGAAACGAAGTCTTATTGTATTTTTAGACAGTTGCACCATCTGTTGCTTAGCTTTTTAAATAATTCAGAAAATTAGGAAAAAAACACCTTTCTTCTAATAAGAATGCTGTAACTATCACACTTCCTATTTTCATTAAAGAATTTTCAACTATCCACCCAATAAACAAGTCGTCATTTATTTTTAGAGCCCAAAGAACTTTATGTATAAAATCGCCAGGAAGGCATTATATTACATTTCTAAGCATTGTATTTAACCGATTTGCATTAAATAAATTTTACATTTATTTAACCGTTAATTTTACATTTACTTTGTGAAGCTACGGTCGGACATTTCTCTACCCGTAAACTAGATTGAATGCGTTAGGAACGGACCCTGATCCGTTCCTATAGTCTGGGAAGAAAAATAGGTGGTCTTTAAATTTCTTTGGACGAGGAAATACTTTGTGTTCGTTTTCTAAAAGACAACGCAACGCTGAATAGGTTAAGAAAATATTCGAGTTGATTTAAGCAAAACATTGCCGACCGGCCTGTGTAGGGGGCAGGGAACTGTCCTTGCATCATAAAGGTCCTGGGTTCGAGTCCCGGGCAAGCCACGGATGTTTCTTTCTCTCTCTGTGTGTTCTATGTCCTTTCTCCTTTGTGTGTGAATGTGACCCGCCCTATAAACGGGTTGTGGTTGTGTGAATGGCGTGGCAGAAGTCGAATCCCTGGCCATAGATGGCGCCACTGAAAAACAGGAACTATCGCACCCCCTCTGCCTAAACAGGCATACGACAAAAAAAAAGTAAAACATTTACTTTGTTCAGTAATAATTTTTTTTTAATGAAACGCAAATTTTATTTCAATAGGAAGATTTTCTTCTTATTTTTTTATTATTAATAATATCCAATTAGGTAAAACGCTTAAAAAATTCTGTTGTGATTACTGATCAGATGTATGGATGGTTGATCGTGTAAAGCTAAGCACAGATGGCGCTAGGGGTGAAAATTCGTCGTAAGACTTCCGGGTTGTTACTTTCCATTGATTTTTACGCTTAGCCTTAAAAAAGCGCACAACAAAATATTATTATACTTGTAGTGTTTAACGCATTTTTTTCAATTTAAATTTCATCGAAACAAACAACAAATGAATTTGGAAGACTCCGCTAGCTGATATTTCACACAAATATAGCCAAATAAGCATGAGTGCCACTCTTCAGTCTTGGGGACTGAAATCAGTCTTGAGAAAAATCAATGGACTAATAAACTCTATTAGTAAAATTAAATTATTTTTTTTATTGGAAATTTAAAATTTTTTGCTGTTAAAAAAATGCATTTTAATGAAAATTTAATGATATTCTAATATCTTACTTATTGGGCAATAAAATACAAAACATAGTGTGTTTTAAAACACTGTTATTGTATATGCATGGGTCTGGGGACTGCAATCAGTCTTGAGAAAAAATCAATGGACTTATAAATTCTATCAATTAAATTAAATATTTTTTTTTCATTAGAAATTTATCATTTTTTGTACAGATTAAAAAAAGGCACATTTTAATGAAAAAATTGTTTTTTTTTGAACGATTATTGCAAAATGATCTAGCAACGATTATTTTGCACACTGCAATGAAAAAATGGTGTCAGGACTTTTATTTATCTTGCTTTTGTCAACCACACTAAATCTTATTCTTAAAGTCCTGACAAATGGAATTGATTGAACGTACATCTGTTTGAGTAAACAAAATTTGTGAGATTGCTGAATCTAAATCTGCTTTCCCCCCAACCTACTGACATGCTGGCCAAAGTTTCATCAAGATTATTAAAAAAAAGAAAGAAAGAAATAGTGCTAGAACAAAATGTAAATAATGAAGTGAAAAATGGAGATATGAATAGTTTCAGGAAAAAGTTAGTCAATCAGTAATAGGTGTAAAAAGATATACAAGGTTAGCTATTATTTTTGTTTTTTTCTTCCTCTAAAAAACATAAAATAAAGAAGAAAGTTTTTCTTTTTAAAAAAATGACCACGTGATTGATTTAATAGTAGGCTATTAACAAGGAAAGATAAACTTTGGTGACAGTGACATACATTTCTAAAAAGTTTGATAAACAAAACTAGACAGTATTATTTGGTCAAAAAATAAGTTCAGTCTTCAAATATTTTTAGAGTGGCACCCATGCAAATAAGGTATAACACTCAAAACATGTCGAACCTTACTTCTTATTTATGTTGTGATATTATAAATTATTAGAGTAATCTAAACAATGATTTATCTATGATCATCCGGTTCTTTCATCGTTTCTAACCGGAAGCAAAATAAGTAGACTAAGCACGGAAAAGTTTTATTATTCATCTGGGTGATTGAATTTATTTAATTTTTTCGGTGTTCTATAAGGATTACCCAAAATGTGTATTTTTTAAATCGAAGTCAAATATAAAGCAAATAACGTATTCAATATTTATATTTAAACGGGGAAGAAAAAAATATGTTGTATTTTTGTTTCATAGTCAGGAAGACGGCATGAAAATACAATTTGATTGCCTCATATGATACCTAATGTGATTCTGACAATGACCTTCTGACTGATCTCTGTATCTTCCGGAAATCAAACTAGTATTTATGTTTTTAAAGCAGTCATCTTAAAAAGTGATTTGTCAGATTTAGGTGGAGTTTATATTTTTTCCACGCCTTGATATTGAATAGCGATCCCTAATAAGCATACTACGTTGACTTAATTTTTGACAAGGAGTCATTACAGAGAACGTTGTACTTTTCGTTTATTCTGAAAACGAAGATTTCTTTAAAATTTAAGACTGCTTTGTATTTTTTTTTTATCTATCCACCAACGAGAAATAAATTTTAATTGTAATGAGTTAATTATAAAAAACTTATTTTTCTTACATGTGATCAAAACTCTGTTTACAAGGATGGCATTTTTGAATAGCAGCAGCTATGAAATCTATGCTGAAGACCTCGTTCGAGAGATGGAATCTTTCTTCTCCCAACACTGCTGTAAACCATTTCAGAATCATTCTCATGTAGACAAAAGCATACTTTTTTTCCAACACTAGCTGCATACCGTCTTTTGAATGTTCCACCAAATTATCGGGATTATCTCTAAGATGGTCTTTATAGATTGGGTGGACTTTAGCCATGTCTCTCTGAAAATAATTAAAATTATACACACATTGTTTACTTTCTTACTAAACTGTTAATAACTAAAATGGATATAAAAGTGAAATAAAAATTTTAAAAGCTGCATTTTACAAGTAAGAAAAGATTATTGAAGACCGTCTGTGAAGAATAATTTATGTTCATTTTCCCCAAAATTAACAATTGGTTCAACATCTGCTGCATTTTGAGGATTACCAACTTTCGACAAATCAATAGCTTGGTAGTCATGGTGGCTCAAGGGATAGAGTGTTCGTCTCCCAATGCGGTGATCCAGATTCGAATCCCAGCGATGGCTAGTTGATATGAATTCTGCACCAACCACAGTACTGACTTAAAATATCCTCAGAGGTAGACGGATCATGGGTTTGAGCAGTGCAGGGTGTTCGTGGTTTTCCTCTCCATGTAAAACAAATAATGGTTATTTCCATCAAAAGAGTCCTCCACAATCGCTTGTTTGTCCCTATGCTTAATCCAGGTGTTCCATTGTCTTCTGGATCAGGTTCAAAGATAAACGAATACTGAGTTAAACATTGATAGTTGTAATCTCAGAATCGGGTCGTCTATTCAACGCTGGTTATAAAACAAAATCAATAACATGAAAACGTGGTTCTCTCCGAGAGTTATTACACTACGAATATCGGCCGTACTGTGCAAAAACCTTTCCTTTTCGGCGCAAAATTGTTTTTTCTTCGGGGTGTGTGTTCATTTTTATTTTTATCTGACCTAAGGCGAAACGCGTATGAAAAACTTTAAGTGGTCATGAAAGTTAATAAAAGTGATGTGCGAAAAGCGTAAGATGCATCTTTTTTTATTATTGATTTTTGTCATTACTGCAACTTCTCTCTACGCATTTCGTTTTATGTCAGAAAAAAGTAAAATTATTTTCTCCTTTTCGTGCATTTGATAAATGTAGTTTTTAAGACATTTTGCAGTTTTCGACTATTATTAGGCTAAGTGTTTCAGTTAAGTTGCAGACAGTTCGGAAAAATGGTCGTAGTTTTAATTGATGATAAATTCTGTTTGGCGATAAAAGGGCGATATTAATTGTGTTTGTGGAGATCAAGAAACTGTTTAAAACATGGATTGTTTTCAGACACGGAACTCCAGCTAAGGTTTGAAAGCTTTAACTAGTCAGAAAATTGTCAAATAGATACGAAAACGAGTGAGAAAAAAAACTTATTTTTTTTTCACAAGTTTTAAATGCGGATTGAATCGAAGAACGTAGTAAGCGAAAAACTAGTAATGCGAAAGTGATGATCTCGTTTCTCAATTACCGTGAAGCAAACAAAAAATTTTCAACTTTTTTGCCCAAAAATTTTAAAAAATGTATTTAAAAAAATAGTGAAAATTTATTTTCTTCATTTAAGTTTTGTGCCTGTTCGTTTAAATTTGAAACTTTAAAGAAAAAAAAAATCTTTTTTACCGGATTTTTTTTATTACTTTTTCTTTTTCCCTTTTTTCACTGTTTTCTCCATTCCAATTTTTCCATGTTTTCTCTACATTTTGAACTTATATATATACTATACATATATATACGAACATTATTGCGAGCGAACTAAAAAAAGAGAGATATGTCGTTAAAATATTTTTGATTACTTTTCTTATTTATCCAACTTGTTGCATAGTGATGTAACTTTTCTAAAAAGAAAAGGTCATTCGGAGGAATATGTATCCAGAGTATTAAGTGATAGAACGATGCAATAAATTGATTAATACAATCAGTAATCGGAGTCATCATCGTTATAGATAATTTAGATTTTTTAATTTAAAGCAGCTTAAGGCATAGCTTTAGGGCGAGGTCACGGTTTTGTCCCATTTGAGGTGCATGAAATTAAGTATTTTGCCAAAAATAATTTCTGTAAATCTGTATTTATAGCTTAGTACCCAATTATCTTATTAATCTTAATAATCTTATTAATATTTATAAGAAAAACCCTTATTTAAATAATATTATGTTCTGATTGTTCCTCAGTTTCGGAATAGCATTACAATAACAATTAACTTTTTATGCAATACGTACTTAAACGATAGCTTGATTAATTTTCTTTTTATGAAAACAATTATCATATTTTTTTAAATTTAAATTTTGTTTGTTTAAATATGCCTTCATATTTTTTCTACTTTTTTCCCTTCAGAATGCTGCTTGAGTTGCATTATATGTTCTACAGAAGTAGTGTAAGATTTAAAACCTAAAAATAGAAATATTTTGCAACTGGAGTCGTTTAATCTTCTTAGATCGATCGTGAATAGAATATTTATGAGGATTACCGAGGATTTTGAAATGTGTAGGATTCTGTAGATTTTGAAATGGGTAGGATTACTGGGGAAGTTACAGAAAAAGATTTATATATTAAATCAGTTGAGCAAAAGGACCAGAAAAAGTAATTTAATATTGTATTTTTTGTAGTATAAATACTTAGTAATAAGCTCGAGTTTTCTGCATTCATTGTTCAAAGCTGATTTTTAACAAATCAAAGCAAATGGAATCTCTGTTTGGAATGTATGTCATAAATAAAAGTATGAGGTGAAGTTCAAAATTTAATTTTACTACAAGTTATTAGACATTTGGATAGTTTAGTACGTAACCTTTTTGAACCTTACGGGGCATATGCCCCACCAGAAGCATACTGCTTAGCTAAATAGATCTTCTTTTAACATTAAATTTGCACATAACAGTCTTTTGAGCTTACTTTTATTTAAATGGTTGGCAAAAATTGTAAAATTGTCATGACGGCATAGAGTTATATTTATGCATCATTTCTTGAGGAAAATAACTTAAATAGCTAAAAAAAGTGAACGACATAATATAAGTATTATTTACATTCTTTTACGTTATTTTGAAACATAATTTGCATTATTTTAAAGTCTATCACCATGAAAGCAATAAAAACAATCTTATCTTTACGACACGGGATGCATATGTCCCAACCGTCTTTTTTCATGTGTCATTAGTCACTCAAAAAGACTAATGGGACTTCAATGTCCAGGGCCTACCGCAAGATGTAAAGTTCAGATTTTTTTTTTTTTTAAAAAGAAAACTCATATTTATCAATGGTAGAAAAATAATGCGCTACCAAAAAAAAAAAGAAGAAAAAAAATTTCTCTATAAAATATGAAAAATTAGTCTTGAAAGGGTTAATGCGCTTTTAGTGATTTCCCCATAATTAAATATTTATTTTCAAAACAGATTTTTTTGAAAAAGTTTATACTGGTTATATTTTTGAATTAATGTTATTTTTGTTGAATTTAAAGTTAATAACTAATTTATTTAAAAGCTTGTCTTACGTTTAACAAAAAATTGGTAACTAAATCTGAAATGTAAAATGAGAAAAATAATGTTTAAAAACAAATAAATTATGTCGTTATGAATCAGATTTTTGGAAACTGATTTAATTAAATTAAATTTTTTTTAATCTAAAGCATGTCAAAAATAAAATATGATTTTTTAAAGAACTTCTTTTATCAAGTAAATTAAAATGAGAAAAATATTTTTTCAGGATTTAAGTGAAAAACGGTAGGCACATTACTTTTATGATAAATATTTATAACTATTTAAAATTCTCTTTACTTCTTTTCGCATTAGGTCAGCGAAAAATAAAAATGTTTTCTTCTTTTTAGTCTTCTTGAAAAGAGTATTTTTTAAACATTTTATTTTCTTATCTTGTTATTTTTAGTTAGTTTTGAATCATCTGGTTTATATTGTAATGTGGTTGGATTGGTTATAAAATATAAATCTTAAGAAACATTCGAAACTTAGTGTTAAAATCAAACACAGCTCTAGTTAAAATTTTCACAACCAAACTAGTCGGAGAGCGATCGAAATTGTGATAGATGATAACTTCTCTTTGATAATGAAATTTATNAAACCAAACGATGTTAAATAACAAACCAAACGATGTTAACAAAATGACGTAGAAAGCGCAACTAGATCAAAATTATACAAGCACAACTAGATCAAATTATAATACCTGAGTGCTTGACGTAACAGATATAGAAATAGAATTTGATACCATAAAAAATTATATAGAAATAGAAATTGATACCATAAAAAATTTATTCGTTTTCGTGTTCTTTTCATGTATTTAGCATTTTAGTTTTTTTTTTCTTAAGCGTTGTAGCTATATAATTTCAAACATCCTCAAGAGCTATAACACATCTGCAGCAGAACTGGATATGAAGACAAAATTGCAGGACAGGAACACTTTAATTGTCCACTAATCTTCAGATTTCCTGCCATGTTTTAAAAAACTTTATTTGTGAAAACCTTCAGCGTGGCGGACAACTGGCCGCCTTAGGCGGCTAGTGTAAAATAATATTAAGGCGAACGCTAGATAATATTAGATTGTATAGAATTTAACGTTATGTAATGCAAAGAAAACAACGATCTTCTGAATCTTTTTAAAATTCGAAAGTTGTGCAAGATAGCGTTAGATATTCTGATTTTATGATATTTAATATTATTTGTAACTTGGGACTAACTTCCTTTATGCATAAACACCCTACCCTGCCTATACGGCTAATCAATCGATATGGTATTACCTGATAAAAACTGTCGCTTCAAAATATATAAATAGCAACAAACAGTTGACGTGATTCAAGCGTTTCAAAAATAGGCACCCATTTTCAAGACTTGCCATCTCTAGGGCGACGTAAACAAAGTGCCTTCCTGAACTTGTAACCATCTTCCCTCCCCGATAGACATGCATATTCAGCTTTGAGAGCCCTGCAAGCTAAAAGCTTGCTACGCAACGAAACACACTTCACAGTCTTGAGAGCCTAAACAAAATTGAAACTAAATATGTGGTAAATCAAAAAAATTATGAATGTTTTTTTAAAAATTAAATATATTTGTTCAGAACGTTGAAGTATTATTTTGTCAAAAAAATTCATAAATAATTTGCGTGAAAAGTTCCAACATCAATCGAACATAGCCGGCTTATCGAACATGTTTGTGAGTGCAAGAAAATATCATTTTGTAATTAACTATGTTAACTTAGAAGTAAGAACGTGGATGATGTAGATATGTGTTCAAAATGTTTGAATTTTATTATTTATTTTTCATTCGTGTTACTTATCTATCGCCAGCATTATTTTCTGAACACTAACTCTTCTGTGTGGACAAAATCTTATTTAGAAATAACGATGCTAATTTGAAGCGTACACATTAACGTAAAATTATGGCTATTCACAGCAGATGGAATGTTTGCGTGTTACTGTTGTAATGAGGAGGGAGTTGGCTATTCAAAACATAATTGGAACATTAGTGGATGCATTACATACCTTCGTTCCCAAATGTGCTTAGAAGATACCAGAAGTTGTAAGAATCCTGGACAATATGTTTTGTTGGTAGAAAATGAGTTAGGGCATATAAGGCTGCAGAACCAAGAATAAGAGCTACAAAAATGCTTGCCCAAACCTTCAAAGAATAAATGCAAACTAGAAAATTAGTAGTTATTAGTACATCTGGAAACTGTGTCATTAATTTGAAAGCAAAATTTTGAAAGAAGATATTAGGACTGTTTTTGAAGGCTCCGTCATAGTATGAAATGATGCCTTTTTGCGAAAAATATGCTATTTTTATAACTGCTGTGAGTTTGCAACTGTTACTCATATGACTGTTAGATCAAGTTTAGCTTATCTAAAGCCAGGGCTGCCAACGCTTATTTTGGAAATGGCGGAAAACGAAAATATGGAGAAAAGCCACAGTTTTGAGAAAATGAACAGCTTTTGTGGTCTTATTTATTAATACTTAAAAAATTACTCCACTGTTGCCTTACCTGGGCTCATAAAAATTAAAAAAAACTCAGAATACGGCAGTGATATGGATAATTTTCCTTTAGGTGGAAAAAAGTCGCCGAATTAACTATTTTTAGAGAAGTTTAATAACTTTTAAAATATTTAAGTTATTTGTAAGCTTAAAATGTATACATATAAGTTTAAAATCATGGCATTACTTCAAGTGCACTTATGGCTCTTTTGTTTTTCTTGGCGAAAGAGCTTCCAGAAACAGCTCCTGTCTCTATGTATTCTTATAACTTAATAAAAAAAACTTGAATATGGGTCGTGTTTCTTTTTGAGCAGTTTTAATACTTTCATGTAGTGGTTTGAATTATAAACATTCGCCATTTTTCTGTAAGGAATGGCGAATAAAAAAAAATCCATCGGTTAAACTCATTGTTACAAACTAAACTTTTCTTAACATCTTTTGAATGCATTCATGGACTAAATCAGCGTCAACTTAGATTTTCTACACGAGTTTAAAAACCGACGCAGGCTAGGACTAAATGTGAAGGTTAGCCTAAGTCAGAGGTCGCCAAAGTGGTCTATATAGACCCCCAGGGGTCTATTCCGCAAAAGCGGGGGTCGATCTGAGACAGAGAGTCGAATGGGGGTTGATTCGAATAGGATGTGTCGATTGGGGGTCGAAGAAAAAACAGCTCTTAATATGCAAGTCACAGATACGTAATTTATGTGATTTGCGTATTAAGAACTGTTGTATGTAAAATTTGTGAATTTTTTTGTAATTGANAGAACCAAGAATAAGAGCTACAAAAATGCTTGCCCAAACCTTCAAAGAATAAATGCAAACTAGAAAATTAGTAGTTATTAGTACATCTGGAAACCGTGTCATTAATTTGAAAGCAAAATTTTGAAAGAAGATATTAGGACTGTGTATGAAATGATGCCATTTTGCGAAAAATATGCTATTTTTATAACTGCTGTGAGTTTGCAACTGTTACTCATATGACTGTTAGATCAAGTTTAGCTTATCTAAAGCCAGGGCTGCCAACGCTTATTTTGGAAATGGCGGAAAACGAAAATATGGAGAAAAGCCACAGTTTTGAGAAAATGAACAGCTTTTGTGGTCTTATTTATTAATACTTAAAAAATTACTCCACTGTTGCCTTACCTGGGCTCATAAAAATTAAAAAAAACTCAGAATACGGCAGTGATATGGATAATTTTCCTTTAGGTGGAAAAAAGTCGCCGAATTAACTATTTTTAGAGAAGTTTAATAACTTTTAAAATATTTAAGTTATTTGTAAGTTTAAAATGTATACATATATAGTTTAAAATCATGGCATTGCTTCAAGTGTAAGGTATTTAAATTATAACTCTTTTATTTTCCTTAACGACAGAGCTTCCAGAAACAGCGTCTGTCTCTATGTATTCTTATAACTCAATAAAAAAAAAGCTCGAATTCGGGTCGCGTTTCTTTCTCTGCAGTTTTAATATTTTCATGTGGTGATTTGGATTATAAACATTCTCCATTTTTTCTGTAAAAGATGGCGAATAAAAAGTAAAAAAAATCCATTGTAGAAACTCATTGTTACAAACTAAAGTTTTCTTAATATCTTTCGAATGGATTCATGGACCTCGGCGCCAACTTAGATTTTCTGCACGAGTTTAAAAACCGACGTGGGCTAGGAATAAATGTGAAGGTTAGCCTAAGTTATCAGACATTTAAAAAGTAATGTGTTCAACCGTCACAGGTAGCTTTAAATATATACATGGTGTTCCGTAAATGCTGCGACAAACTTCTAGAGGAAGTAGGGCACATCATAAGGATTATGAATTACCAAGGAAACCGTAACCGGAAATGTCATCTTACGCTGGTAGGAAGCGCCTTTCTATTATGGACATGTTACTCGTGTGTCTTTGAACTTGCACCTTTATATTTATAATTTTTTTAAAACATTTTAATTTCATATTAGTTTTATGTTACTATTAGTCATTGTCGAGAGTTCCATTAAAATAGGTTCAGAAATGCTGTTTTATCGTAATTTAATGATTAAGCGAGCAGAGATTTTTGGTGCCGTCTTAGCCATAGCTATTTGAAAGCAGTTTTTGGCAATAATTAATAAAAAATCAAAAATTAAGTTAATGTAGGCAAATAAAAGTGCCCCATGTTCAAAGGCACATGATGTAACAGCTCATTATAGGAAAGCGCCCTCAGTTGCATTCGATAACATTTCCGGTCACGGTTTCCTGGTTAATTCTTAATCCTTATGATGCGCCCTGCTTCTTCAAAAAGTTTGTCGCAACATTTGCGGAACACCTTGTATACGCTTCTTCGCTCAAATTGAAATTGATTGTTGCTGATTTGATCAATTGATTGCTGAATTTCTAAACACTTTAATTACTTTTTCTCTTAACGAAATTTCTTGTTATAAAATTGAAAGATAATAGTTCTCGATTATCTTCCAAATTTATTTAGATAAAAATTCATTACTTCTCAAACTTTCCATCATTATTTCTGAAGCTAAGTTATTATGAACCTTATAAATAGTTTAATGTTTAGTAAGGCGAGAAGCTATATAAATAATAACGAATCATTTCATAGAACATTGCTTACAAATATTAAATTACGCAATACTCAAACAGCATTACAATCATTACAACAACATTACATACAAAATAGCAGCGAATGTTTCAAAAATGACCCATGATTTCAAAGATAATTTGATGAAAACGGAACAAAAATGACTGCCATTTGCAGCAATATCATGGCACAACATGACAAATTTATCAAATGTGCATGCAACGTATTTCAATTGGAATGATGTAGCATGCAGTAGAAAATATTCAATCGATAAATATTATAAATAGTTTTTAACCTTTTCGAATCTGATGGGACATATATATCCTATTAGGTTTGAACGTCTGATGGGACATATATGTCCCATAAGACATTCCTAGTAGACTGTTGGACAAAATAGTTCTCATTTTACCATGGATTTGCACATTACATGCTGTCATACATTTCATGATGTCAACTTCCCCCTTCTATTTGATGGCTGTCAGCACTTGTTAAACTGTCATCGCAATCACAGTTTTTGAAGATTTGTGTACCACATCGCGAGCCATAACTGAAAGAGTGCTAAGAAATAATGAGTGTCATAATTGTCATAATATAAGTATTACTTATACCCTTTTACGTTGTTTCGGATCATAATTTGCATGATTTTTAAAGTTTATCATTTTATTATCATCTGCTACCGTCGGATATTGATGGAGTAACATATGTTTGGATATTTAACGGGACATCAATGTCCCTGAACCTACCTGCAAGAAGTGAGTTCAGATTTTGTTTTATTAAAAAAGGTTTTTTTTTATTATCAATGGTGGAAAAAAAACAATGCCAAAAGCAAAAACTTTTCACTATAAGAAAATTAGAAATTAGTCTTTCTATTCTATTTTAATTTTTTATTTAACTAATTGTTTCAAATCGTAGACTAGTCGGTTATTTTGGGGACATCTGGTATGCTGATGTAAAATGAAGATAAAGAAATAGAACATTACATACAGTTGGTGTCATGGGTCGGATTAAAACAAATTGTCTGCTCTCAAGGGCTGGGTTAAGAACGACGAAGCTGAGCTTGTTAAAAATGTAAGGTGAGCTGTAATCCATAACTTTAATTCGAGTTGCTCGCATCGATATCGTTGCCACAGTGAATATCACATCCTAAGGAGGAAAACGATATTTATTAGAAAGCTACAAGTTCAATAAATAAAATAAATCAGACGATTTTTTTTGCCAAATGAACTTAAAATTTTTTATAAATGCATTATTTCTATTGTCAAATGCTAACAAAATTGGTTGAAACAATGAAAACAAAATTGGGTTGTCTTCAATTTTTAAGTAAAGTTTTACGCTTATATTATCTATAATACATGACAGAAAGTAAGAGACTATCATTAAAACAGACAAACTATTCAAATATTTAGAAGCATTATTTAATAAAATAATTCGATGTTTTTTTTTTATCTAGATGCAAAATTATTGAAATCAGTAATTAATTCATAACTTTCTCATATTTTTTTGGAGTTAAGCAGAAAGGCGATGTATAGTAAATTTTTGTACATTATAAAAATTTACGCTACAAATTCTTTTCATCTTTAAGAAAGTTGATTTCCTTCAAAGCCAGTTTTACTTTCTGCGATTGCTCTCCGAACATATTTTAGCTCGTTTTACAACACCTTTTGTCTTTTCTTCTATTAAAAGAATTTAAGCACAAATGTATAAGGACAGCGCCCTATAATATTCTTTATATTTTGTTTTTAATTTAGGTTCGTATGAGGGTTAGACGCATGTAAGTTAATTTGTCACACACAGAAGTAACAAAAAAAAGTGAAATAAAAATTTAGTACATTTTTGTCGATTCGTATTGTTTGTAGAATTTTGTTTACTTCAAATTTATAATTCGCAAAATGTTAAAAAATAAATGTTAGTATTTTTGGTTTTACCTTTCTCTGTAGCAAAAACAAATGTAGTATGAAAACAGAAGTAGCTACAAAAACAATGATCAAATTATTGTAACATTTCGCACTGAAAACAATAATTTTGGATAAGAAAACTATAAAAAAGCCTGTCAAATTCCATACTTCTGTAAATCTACAAGTCATGATTGATCTTTCATTGTTGTTTGGAATGTTGGTTGTTAAAAATGCATGTTGATACAACATCTGATAGTAATAATGGAAAGTCACATACTTTGTTAAGATATTGGTGAAATTTGGTAGTGAGAAAGTGTTTCTTCCTTTTTTTTTCTAGAGACGTGATCTCTTATTGTGATGATTTCGATGATGTCTAATCTAACGCTTTTTTTTGATCTTTAGATTTTGTTTCTTAATAACATGCATTTTTTACACACTTTTTTTTACCCCGTTATTTATTGTTTCAAATTCTTAAATTCATAATTTCCAAAACTATATTAGTTTTTGATCTAATGAATGGTTTGCAAATAATATGATGTAATCTTAATGATTCGAGGGCTTAATCACAAATATACTGGTTAATTTCTGCAGACAATATTTTAAGTTATGAAATAAAACGCAAAAGCTAATTTCTTAAGAATAAAAACACTTTTTTCACCATAAGAAAAAGTTCGCATCTTTTTAACTTTAAAATATCAGAATTTTCGTAATACGAAAATTTAGTCCCAATTGTTTGAGAGTTGATGAGTACGTTTTAAATTTGGAGTGCCCCCCCAAAAAAAATGTTAATTTCTCCTTTTGTGTATTTTACCATATCTTTTGAAGAACTAAAAAAATTCTCCACAATTATTAGAACTCATTTATCTAAACACCGTTTTATGCAAAAAATACATTTTTAACTGTTATTTCTTACTATTTAATTTCTAATCATTTAAATCGTTACTATTAAATCTCTTATTATTTAATTTATTCTTATTTAATTTATTCCTATTTAATTTCTTATTATTTAATTTTTTTTATTTAATTTCTCATTATTTAATCAAATTACATTTTCCAAATTATAACTACCCTATCCCCCTATTTTGAAGTTTGAAAAGAATGATTTTCAGAAAAAAATGCTTGATTATTCAGAAAGAGTAAATTTTTGTGCCGATGTAATTTATCATGGTATCTTAGAGAATGGCATAAAAGTCATTTATTCCGTTAAATTTGTTTTCCAGTTTTGTATTTCGTACTAAATGTGTGGAAATAAAAAACTATAATTTTGAAGACACGAATTTGCCGTAAACCTTTACGATATGAACATAATAATTGCTAATGAATAATTTAAATACAGTATATTTTTCATTTATTAACCAGAATTACGTTTTTTTTACCAGAAATTTTACTTCAATGCAGTACCTTAATTTTTTTCAGAAATTTTTTCTCCTTGTTGTTGGATTAAACAAAAACAAAATAGACATGTGAAAAATTTGATGAATGTGGTAAAATTTGGTAAAAATGGTAAAGTAAAAAAAAACTGAGATCGTATTGCCTAAAAACTATTTAATAGGTTAAATTTCCTTTTCAGTTTCGTATGCTTTACTAAAATATGTGGTAAATGTGAAATATAATTTTGAAAACCAGAACTTTCGCAAACCGTTACCGTATGAATGAAAAATATTCCAAATGAATGGTTTAAATATCGTATATTTTGGTTTTAATAACCAGATTAATTTTCTTAAGGTAATTTTGAAAGAATTTTTTTCCTCCGTGTAGCTTTATAATAATGGTGTGGCAAATTTGAACTTAGTGTTATTCACCGAATAACGCAATCCCCGAAATTTTCACAGTTTTGTTTACAACACAAAAATTTGAATCATCTACATAAATTTTGCTGCGTTTTTCACTGAAGAGGCTCTCCTGAAGAATTTGGCTAGTTCTTCATATAACACCCCTAGCTCTTCATATTTATTAAAATTATAAATATTGTTACCTACACCACGTTGAACGAGACCGATATATCCTGTCCAGCTTCCATTTGGCAACTCACGTCCCGTGTCTTGATCTCTGCGTTTGATGATATCAATTCTGGAAAAAAAAATTAAAATAACGTTGTTAAAATCTATAATTAAAAAATCATAAGAGCAGCCACCGATGTTTTTGTTTCAACTTAACGTTGCACTTGAGATAGGGATTTGCTCCAGAAATGCGAAATTTTCATTCCCTCACACTTGCGGATAAATCTTTAATTATTATTTTATGTACCGTCATTTGTGCAGCGGGGGCTACTTTGTGCAAATTAGAATGTGGAATTTTTCAAGTGCTGCTATTCAGTATTATGTTTATTTCACGTTAAAAATGTGTGGAATTTGAAGATAGAAGTCTCTTCTATTACTACAAACATTTTTTCGAATTTTAAAACAATCTCAGAGTGTGTTTCGTTCATCCAATGTCAACAACTTTCTGAGGATGTCGGATGTCGAAAAGTGTGCGTGGAAACTTTAGCTGTGAAATGCAAAGACGTTCATAAAACAATTGTCGTAAGTGCAAAATTTTTTATTTATATATTAATAAACAATTATATCATGTTAGCGTTAAAAAAATTTGAAAATTAATAACAAATAAA